TTTGTCTTCCTTTATCATTGATTTTTCAGACAAGGACACGGAGTCCATGATTCAGCTAGGCTGGCTGGCCAGAAGGCCCCAGGGATCCTCCAGTGTCCCTCACCTGAATATGGGATCACAAGCACGAACCATCATACCCAGAATGTTGTATGTAATTTCTAGGAAATAAACTCTGGTGCCCATGTTTGAATAATAATCTCTCTCACAGCTGAACCACCTCCCCAGCCTCTTTGCCAGGCTCAGGCTAGTGGGACACACTTAGATCTTGTGGGTGTAAATGAATGAACTAAGGAGTGACATGCAGCCCTGACCTTCTGTGCTGGTGGTGAAGTGTGTCCCGATAAATGTGTTCTAAGATGCATCCATCACCCTGTGCAAACCAGGAAGAATGCCATTCCAAAGTCCCAGCTACAGTGTCACCAAGAAAGAAATCGTAGGAGACCATTGTCACATAGACTACTAGTCACTAAAATGACTCCATGTAGGACATATTTAAAATCTCACCCTGAGCCATGGGCCAGGCAGGTCTGAGAATCATATCAAAACTTGGTGTTAAATTTGTGTTAGATTTGATGAACAGCGTGGAAACTTCTCTTCTTCATTGTACAGATAAGTTGAAATGTTAACAGGTGGTGCTGATCATTTGAGATTTGTGACATCAGTTCTGCCCCACACTCCTAGAAACATAGTGGTTCCTTTTCCTCCTTACACTCTCGCCCCCTTCCTCCTGTCCTTCCTTTCTCTTTTTCCTTTCTTTCATTATTCCTTCCTCGCCTCTCTATTTTCCTTCTTTCTCCCCTCCCCCTTGCTTGTTCTTTCTGTGGACCTTAAGTCCTTCATTGGTCACATACAACACAGTTGCTCATGGGTTCAGTGTGGCAAAGGCATTATCCAAGAAAAGTTCTTAGTAGAAGTCTGCATTCTCTACATGGAATATTTTCTCTAAATGTCAGTAATGTTAAGTAGAAAGGGCTGCATATTTAGGTAAGTAAACCTTGTTTAATTCCCTCTCTGTCCACCTAACCACAGCCCCTTAAGTGAGCCATCTAACCTTTCACTAACTCAGCTTTCTCATCTTCCAAGTAGATATAATTATATTTCTAAAGTACATTAAAATGATTAATAGATGAGAAAGTTCTTCAATGAGCTCTGTTCAATTTTGAGCTATTAATAATTTAAGACTTGAAATTATGGGGGTAGGCAGCCTTCACTTTCCCCGATGCTGGTAGGAACCAGTGTTTTGTGTCTTTTCAGAAGCTCAAATGGGTTCTGCTGACATCTCTAGACTCCCCAGAAACCATGCAGAGAGCAACAACAACCAAAACAAAAACCAAACAAACGAACTAAAAATAAAAAACCAGGCTTGGTGGTGAATGCTTGTAATCTCAAAGCTGGGGAGGGAAAGACAAGCACTTGGCAAACTCTGGAACAATGAGAACGCCTATCCCAAACAAGGTAGAAAGCATGAAGGATGAAACTCAAGGTTGTCTGATGACTTCCACATGAATGCAAACACAGAGAGATATACATACATACCGAGACACATACATATATACATATATACTTGCGTATTTACATATACCACATGAACACATACACAAAAATCCAGGTTTGGATGTCTTCATGGTCTTCACTCTGCTTCTAAGTAGTTATGTGCCATGGTACAATGGTTGACTTTTTTTTTTTTTGAAATAATGCCATGGTACCCTGTTGACTATAATGGCCTAGCTCAGATAGATCCTTTGAGAGCCCTTGGTTGTGTTGTAGCCTGAGTGAGAATGACTTCCATAGGCTCATGTAGTTGACTGTTTGGTTCCCTCTTGGTGGAACTGTTTGGGAAAGATTGGGAGGTGTGGCTTGTTGGTGGAGGTGTGTCACTGGGGGGCGGGCTTTGAGGTTGCAAAAGTCCATACTATTCCCAGTTAACTCTCTCTCTCCTGCTTGTGAATCAAATGTGAGCTTTCAACTGCTGCTCTAGTGCCATGCCTGCCTGTCTGTCTGCTGCCATGCTTTCTGTCATGATGGTCATGGACTCACCCTCTGGAACTGTAAACCCCAAGCAAACGCTTCTCCTGTAAATTACCATGGTCATGGTGTTTGGTCAAGGCAACACAACAGTAACTTAAGACGGCTTGTCATTCTCAAAGTCCTTGGTAATACAAGCTGCATCAATTCCTTTTTACTCTTAAACTAGTTTCATTCTGAGTTCTTGAAAATGCGCATTTTAGAAGATGACTGTGAAAGACAATCCCAGCAGTGAGCAAGAGAGCACTGTTGGCTGGAGAGGTCACTCAGAGACTGAGAGCACTCATTGCACTGAGTAAGGGCTGGAGTTTGGTTCTAAGCACCCATATTGGGAGACTCAGAAACACCTGAATCTAGCTCCAAGGAGTCTTCTGCTCATTTCTGGCCTCTGAAGGGATTATATGCACATATGCACATACACAAATATGCATGCATACACATAATTAAATTTTTAGTAAACGTGTTTTCTATATGCAATTCTAATATTCTGCTCTTCCCCTCTCTCCTGTGAAACTATATGTTTAATTAATTATTATGTTAAATCTATATATGTGTGTATGTTTTATCTGCCCTTCCCCACCTTTACCTCAACCTTCCCTAATTCCTTTTAATTTCCTTTCTTTCTTTTGTCATTTCTATTTTTCTTATATATATATATGTGTGTTTGCATTACATGCACATTGTTTTCTATATCTGTATTAACTCTAGGAACTACAAAAGAGAGAAAATCAGAATTATTTATCTTTCTGAGACTCACTAAATTCACTTAATATAATTATCTCCTGTTGTTTCTATTTCCATGCAAACTATATAACTTTGTTCTTCTTAATGACTGAAAAATTTTCATTGTGTATATGCATTGCACTTTTCTTATCTGTTCCATTGTCATTGGACACTTAAATGAGTCCCATAGCTTAGCTAAGCTTACCTTAGCTATGGGACTCACTTAATAAATGTTCTTTAATAAAGGTGCAGGCATTCTCCTCTGTATAGTTCTGACCTTTGAATCCGTAGGGATGGGGCTCAAGGCCAATGTTCTGTATACAGAGTTAAAATACATATGGAACACTCTGGAATACTCCTGTGGAGAATAAACTGACAGATATGAACTCTCTACTGAGGACCAGCATTATCTGAAAATGAATGTGAGCAGGAGAAACATGAGACATAGTCTCATAACACAGGTTGTCATTTATTCTAGGAGGGAATACTTGTGCACAGAAATGAGAGGGTTTCAGGGGACAAAATGAATGATGTAAAGATTAGTGAGGAAGCATCTTGACTAGAAAGTGAGGCAGATCTGGAAAATAGATCTGGAGATATTCAGAGCAGTAAGTAGCATCAAAATGAGCTAGTGTCCCGAGTGGAAGTGGGTGTCACTTTGGGGACTATGGGGTTGTGTTGGTGACCCATCTCTGTACTGAAACTAAATACAAGAGGAAAACGGCGTAAGGAAGGAAGTGTTTATTGTGACTCACAGTTTGAAGACACAAACTTTAACAGTGGGGAAGGTGGTGGGTGCTATGCACATTCAGGATGGATCTCACCTCTCACACGTGTCCAGAGATTTCTTCCCATGGTGATCCTAGGTCTCAATGAGTTGACAGTAGTGTTAATATCACAGAAGTTTTGGAAGTAGGCATTTAAAGTCAAGCAGAAGTAGAACAATTAACGTGCTGCAATATGAGCTGTGGGAATACTCATAAATCAGTTGAAATGTACAAGTAAAGATGTTAACAGAGTTGGCAAAGTTGTGAAGCAATTTAAATTTAGTGAGAGAAGGGTTAAATATCTTCCAGTGTCCTGACACCATGAAGTTCGTCAAAGCTGTTGAAAAGAACAAAGTAGATCTTTATGTACTGATGTGGGAAGACAGCCATGGAAGCACGCACACTCTGTCAGTGGAGAGAGCGTATTTGTGAAAGATCTGCTGTTGTGTAACATATTCTTCCATGATTGAAACGTCCCATCCTTCAGAGAAGCTGCTAAAGAAAGAAGTAAAGAACTCAAAATAGTTTCAGGAAGTCCCTAAAACTAACAAGATTCACCAGCCCCTTCACTGAGGGAATAAGCAATAAAAACTGAGAGTTCCCCTCCAACAAAGCAAAGCCAAACTGCTAAGAAGAGCCGGGCAAGAGCTACAAAGACTCTTGAGACCAGTCCAACTGCCTGGAAGAAGCATAAACCAGCTAAGCTGCTTGGAAGAGGTTTAGACCATCTGAGGCACTGGAAAGGGCACTCGCCAGCCTGTGGAGCTGCCTGTAGCTGTGCAGTGAGCTCCAGGTTCTGGCTTCATGAGCTGTTATCATGCAGGGGTGGGCTTTGGTGATACAGTTGTCTTTGAGTCAATTCTGTTCCTATAAGTAATCCCAATAAAACTCATTGATTTATTCAGTCAGATTTCAGGGGTATCCGTACTTTAGTCTGTTATAGGTTCCCTATTTGGGGTGTCTTGCGTCTCCCCAGAAAATGTTTTGTCCCACAACATCTGTTAATTTGCCAACTGATTTTAAAAATTCAAAGTGATGCTTGAGGAAGATCAATGTGAGATCTTGTATTGAATTAAAAAGGCATAATTACAAGTGAGGGTAGATGCTAGGAGATTTGTGTATCTGAGTACAGACGTCCAAACCAAGAATAAAATGTTTGTAAATGACTTCATAACCCGCCTTCCCAGTTTCTAGTTCTTACTCCCTCCCTTCCTCCATTTTTTCCTCCTTCTACCTTTCTTCCCTCTGTCTTCCACTCCTTCTCTCCTCCCTCCCTTCCTTCCAATTAAATTCAAGTTTTGCATATCTTAAGTGACCCCTGAGCTTTATTCCACAGCCCTCAGATTTTTAACTTAGAAAATAAAGGAGAGGGAAGAGTTGTTCCCTGTCTAAGCTTGGGAAGTATACCCTGAGAAGAAAAGACTATGACAGCTCTGTATTAGTGAAAACCGTCTTGAAGGATGTGTTCTTGCTTCTGTTTCTTAGGATGGAGGAAACTGTCCGGAGTCTGTTGCAGAGCCAAGGGTCTCCAGAGCAGAAAGGGGAAGAACCTGCAAAGATCACGGCCTTCCAGGTACACCATGTTTCTGGGCACCAGTGTGTTTGGTTTGGTTATCTTCCTGGGAGCCATCAAATTACCTTTATGTTGAAAAATCTTAAGCATGTTTGTTTAACCCAGTGGTTTCTTAAATTCCTCCCTGAAAGAGGTCCTAGATGTATGTGCAGGGTTAGGAAGGCATCATGTCGTCCTATTGTCAGGAAGATGTAACATGGGGTACACAAGGGATGGTCTCAGATGCTGACTTGAGGAGCCCTTGCCAGAGATGAATGACTGGGGAATGCCTGAAGAGAATGAGGGCTGGGCCACTCGAGGCTGAAGAGAAGCCTAGCTTAGCCACAGGGATGACAAATGCAGCCTGGGCCTGAGGAGATTAGGCAGCTCCAGTGACTGCCAGGAGGATGCTCATTGGGTGGCCAGCCTAGGCTGATCAGTGAGTTTCCAAGAAAAACTGAGCCTCTGCCTCAGAAACCCAGATGAGAATAGAGCAATAGAGAGAAACACCCAGGGTTGACCTATGACCTTCACATGCACGCACATGCACGAATGTGTGCATACACACAAAAGCAATGTGTGCATGTGTACTTGTATGTGTATGTATGTATGCGCCTGTGTATTGGTGTGTGTACCTATGTATGTACATACCTCTGTGAGTATGTGTATGCACCACGTGTACCTGTGTGTATATATTTATATACTTGTGTGTGTTTATCTGTATGTATATATATGTGTGTAACTGTGTGTGCCTGTGTGTATTTGTGTGTGCCTGTATGCATATGTACTAGTGAGTATGTGTTTACCTGTATGTGAATGTATGTATGTGCACGCATGTGCACATATGTACATGTGAGTGAGACGTACCTGTGTATATAAGTATACATGTGTATATAGGTACACATGTGGACAACTTTATCTATTATTCCTTAGGCTTTTTCCACTTTGTTTATTTAAGACAAGGTCTCTCTCTTGTCTAGAACTTGACAATTCAGCTCTGCTGATTGGCCAGGGAGCCCCAGGGATCTACCTGTCTCTCCTTCCCCAGTACTAGGATTAAAACACACAGCCCTGCCCGGCGGTGGTGGCACACGCCTTTAATCCCAGCACTTGGGAGGCAGAGACAGCGGATCTCTGTGAGTTCGAGGCCAGCCTGGTCTACAAGAGCTAGTTCCAGGACAGGCTCCAAAGCCACAGAGAAACCCTGTCTCGAAAAACAAAACAAAACAAAACAAAAAAAAAAAAAACACACACAGCCCTTCACCAGACTCTTTACAGGGCTTCTAGTAAACCCACGCAGCCTTGTATGCTCCAATCTCTAGACAGCCTATCACTGGCTCTTTGTTGAGCCATTCTCTATGGAACATCAGTTAATATGAGCACAAGAACAGGAGCCCTGTGCCTGCCTTCCTAGTGTCTGAAGACCAGGTCTCACTGTCAGGGTACAAACGCCGGTGCTGTGAAGTCTATAAATATTCTTGTTTGTCCAACAGCCTCCAAAGTGGGTATTCTTGCACTTGTAGGTATCTTAAGTTGGTGCCTTGGAGAGCGTTTTGATTCTTGCTAAAATTAGAAGTAACTTCCAGTTATTTCCAGGTTGCCTGTGTGAAATTAAACTGAACCACCTTCTGAAGAATATTATATATATGTGTGTGTGTGTGTGTGTGTGTGTTTGTGTGTGTGTGTGTGTTCTTGTGTGTGTATACGTATACATAAAAAGTGGGTGGATACCTTTTAAAAACCCAGGTCAAAATGTCACTGTTTCAAAATTAGAAAAATAAATCAGAACTGGGGAGATGACTCCATTTCTATTTATTTATTTATTTATTTATTTAAAATTTCCACCTCCTCCCATCCTCCCATTTCCCTCCCACTCCCCCTACTCCCCTACCCCCTCGCTCTCCAGTCCTAAGAGAAGTCAGGGTGTCCTGCCCTGTAGGAAGTCCAAGCTCCCTCCCCAGGCCTCCATCCAGTTCTAGGAAGGTGAGCATCGAAGCAGATTAGGCTCCCCAAAAGCCAGTACATGCAGTAGAATCAACATCAGGTGTCATTATCATTGGCTTCTCAGTTCGCCCTCATTGTCAGCCATATTCAGAGAGTCCAGTTTGATCACATGTTTGTTCAGTACCAGTCCAGCTGGCCTTGGTGAGCTCCTATTAGATCAGTCACACCGTCTCCATCTCCGTGGGTGGACGCACCCATCACGGTCATGACTTCCTTGCTCATGTTCTCCCTCCTTCTGCTCTTCATCTGGGCCTTGGGAGCTCAGTCCAGTGCTCCAGTGTGGGTCTCTGTCTCTATCTCCATCCATCACCAGATGAAAGTTCTATGGTGATATGCAAAATATTCATTAGTGTGGCTATTGGAGAAGGCCAGTTCAGGCACCCTCTCCTCTGCTGCCCAAGGAACAAGCTGGGGAAATCTCCCTGAACACCTGGGAACCCCTCTAGAGCCAAGCCTCTTGCCAACCCTAAAATGGCTCCCTTAGTTAAGCTACCTTCTTCCCTGCTCCCATACCCACCCTTCCTCCTTCTCAACCATTTAAGTAGTTGTCCAAGTGTGAGAACTTGAGCTCCATCCCTCACACCCAGGTAAAAGCCAGAGTTAGTTGAGCACACATGTGTCATGCCAGCCCTGGGGAGGTAGAGTCATCAGGATCCCACGCTTCACTGGCAAGCCAGCAGAACAAGGTCAGTGACACCAGGCAAAAGAGACCTGACTAAAAACTAAATAAAAAATAAACAAAAAAAGAAAGGAAAAGAAAAAAGAAAAGCCAGTGTAGATGGTTTCTGGGGAACAACAGCCACAATTGATTCCTAACCTCCATTTACAAGTGCACATGTAAGCACACACATGTACCTGCACACATGCATACACTAGTCAAACCAACTACTGAGTAATGAACTAGAAAAAAAAATGAAAAAAAACTCACGAGCTCGGGAAACAGTGTTTGAGGCTTGTTCTCACTGTGGAAGTGGCAGTTCCTGAGTGATGGAACCATTGTCCGTATGTGCGGAGGAGGCACTGTGTGCACCAGGGACAGACTCATCTCTTTGGGGAGAAATGTGAGACGCGAGAAGTGTTCCTTCAGAGGACCCCCGGTGTAAACATCTGCTTTTCTCTCGCTTCGTCTGGCACTGTGGTCCTTGGATCTGGGTGTCTCGGGCTTTCTGATACGCCATGATGACTCTTCCTGCCACTTGGGCCACCTTTCCTGTTGTTAAGTTTGGAAACTTTTCTTTGAAAAAAAAATCAAAATTGCACATGAGAGAGAGGGTCATTGAGCATCTGTGAGACAGAGCAACTGTTAGAGAGACACATGATCTCTCTGTCTACTAAGATACATACGCACCAGCAGCCTCGATGTCGTGGGATCTGCACAGACTTGATGGATAGGCCATTCACAGGCCCCCTGTGTTTCCAGCTGCCTGTGTGTTCCTCCATTGTTGCAACCATACCCCCTCATGTTCCCACTTCTTTAAAAAATAAGGAACATGAATTGAATCACATTAATTAATTCATTAAAAATGTGACAGCCAAATGGGACGAGGAACAAGACTTTGGACCTCACACAGAAAGCCTCTGTGTTCCTTGTTTTTCAGGCTTTAAAAGAGAGCATTTGGAACTAAATGAGGAATTCTAAATATAAATGTTCTCAGAGGGCAGCAATGTTGTTCAAATGACACAAATATAAAATGTCAAATGCCTTCTAGAGAATTCTGTTCTGTTTGCACACTTACGAGTCAACACAGGGAGAGAGTTCTTGTTCCTTTGTATTTTGTCTCTCTATGTGCAGGTATGTTTATGTGGGGTTATACAGGTGTGGGCATGTTTGAACATATAGAGGTCAGAGGTCAACTTTGGTGTCATCCCTCAGGTGCTGGCTATCTGGGATTTGAAGACAGGGTCTTCCTAGGCCTGGAACTTGATGGGTAGGCTAGGCTGGCTAGCCGGCACCCTCTGGGGAACCTGCCTGTCCCCTCCCCTACACTGGAATTACAAGCATGTGGCGTCTTCTCTGACTTTTCACCTGGGTGCTAGGAATCAAACATGGGTCCTCACGATTACATGGAAAACACTAACTGAGCAATCTTGCCAGGCTCTGGTTGCACCCTTTTAACTGGAATTGAAGGTAACCAAAAAGTCATCCTCATTTTCATCATAGAAAATTTAGAGACTTGCACAGTGACCAGAAGTGACCACAGAGCTCAAGTTTATCGGATTTCATTCTTCCATTTCCCCTCCCTGGACAGCCCTGTGCTATCTGAGCCCAGGGCCACACTTCCAGAGATGGACTCAATTCAAAATGGATCCTTTCATAGAAACCAGAACCAGCTTAAAATTCCCATGGATTGTCCTTGGGGAGCTTTTATTAGTTGATGCTAATTGTACAAACTAATAAGCTTCACAGTGACTTTTCTATATACAGGCATTGTACAGGTGACCATATTCGTCCCTTCAATGATTTATAGAAAATAAGTTACATTGTAAGTCACCTACTTCAACACCAATATTACTGTTTTCATCTGGAAGTGATTCTTTAGAAGAATTGCCAGGTGTGGTTAAGTATTGAGAAGTGTCTCTTTCCTAGTTATTCTAAGAACTGTCCATCCTCAAATATGCACATTGTCATATTAATTTGTTTTTGAGTATGCATACAGAAGCATACATGTCATGGCACATGCATGGAGATCAAAGGACAACTTGGGGGAGTCGGTTCTCTCCTTCCTATATGTTTTGAGGCAGGATCTCTCCCGTTCTGTTGCTGTACTGTGTGTTCCAGGCTATCTAGCCTGTGAGCTTGCTGACAGTTCTCCCATCCCCATCTCCAACCTCACCTCAAGTGCATAGGGACTATAGATGGATACAATCACATCCTCCTTTCACATGGGTTCTAGAGATTGAACTTGAGTTGCCCGACTCTCACAGTTGGTGCCTTGCTATAGAGTACAACTAAACTGTGATTCCAAGTTAGAAAGGTCTCCCTTTCCAGCTCTTCACGGCCTTGTCTGAGTCTTGAT